AAATCTCTCGCTTCCTCGAGACCACTGCCCGGCAAACCCATTTCTCCAAGGTTTGTTCTTGAAGTGCTGGGTGAAGATTAAGCGAAAGGATAAGGGACACACAATCACTGATGGTGGGTCGACTTCGAACGTTACGTATGCTCCTTCGTCGTTTGCCGTGCGCGTAACAGTGATCTGTATAGGGTGGTGGATGGAGTGGTACTGACGGATGGTACGGATGGGGCGCTTTGAGGGGGTGGTATAGTACCATGGAAGCTGGCACGTAGTACTTGTCTTCATACACGCCAAACATCGTTTTCTTCGAGGTGGTGGTGTGGTGCGGTCAGACGTGAAGGTGTGGTAGTATTCTGTTGAAGAAGTAGAGATCTCAAATGTGATTAGTCATATCAAGCGTGTGTGACAAGTTGCTTCGTTCTCCCTTCAATTACATGAAGAAAGTGGAATGGACGACTGAGAAGGTAGAAGCGAAGGCGAAGCAGTAAAGGCACATCAAACCGGAATTTCATTGAGTTCCGAGGCTCAAAGAGTAATTGAACAGACGCAAAAGGGGTTATGAGAGGGATTGGAACCACGAAAATGGAAGAAACTGATACTGTTCACCGCTTGGATGAAAATATGTGACGACCTCGAAATTTCTGTGATGTGTCCTTGCATATGTGTACCACTGGGTTTTGGGGAGAAATACCAACTGGATAAAGCAAACGCTTGTACTTCTTTTGCAGGCATGATGCTTTGATCCGAGCGTACAGATCTGGAAGTTCCTGTGCGCTCCCGTGTACTGCGAGCCATGCGGGCGGTTTCTGTGACCGTCGAGCCGTACGACCTGTGCCTTTGAAGCAGGCAAACCGAGTACCCCACACCAAGGGCACTAATACTAATGATGTTTAACGATCCTTCCAACCGCATTTTAGGGTGGATTCAAAGTCTCTTGAACTTCAAAAGGTGACAAGTGATTTTTTGGCAAATTCCCGCCCCGACTGAATAAGAAAAACTTTGTGGCGTCGACGTTGAGTGATACGGGTGGGCGCAGTGGATCACCGCTAAGTAGGTGAAGGAGGAGGGCAGGAGGAAGAGTATCATTTTCCAACGGTTCGGATAGACGGGTAGAAATGCAAGGGAAATGAAGAGAGGGAAGAAGCGTAAAGTCTGAACCTATGAAACGAAAACGTGGTACAGTAAGAACTGGACTGGTTGAGGGTTGTCGAGCCTACTATAGGTCTTCGCAACTGAACCCCAGATGGAGGAAGCATGAGCGGCACCCCAATTAGAAGCACTTGCTTTGATGGCATATCCAGACGGATCATAGGCGTACGAGCCGAACTTCTCTTGGCCTACCAAGTATGGAATACCTTGGAGAGGTTCAAATGCTGCACAAAGCAAGGACGCATAAAGTCACTAACATTCGAACAACGGGAAATAGCCCCCTTCTCCCTGTTTGTGCGTTCCCAGAAAAAAAAAAGGAAACTGCATGAGCAAGTCAGTAACACACACTTACAAAGGAAGAGCTGTGAGGGCGCACAATGTTAGTCATATTTGGCGAGTTGCTCTTGGCAAGGCCCAGCAAGCATACAAACATACACCAGACCTCTTGTCTGGAATTAACTTGTGGCGAGAGCTCAGTGCCCTGGATTTGGTGATGAGTATTGAAAGGGTGAATGGGAACTCACTGGAAGATTTCGAGAGACCTTTTGTATGTGAGGTAGATAGACCTCCCCACCATTACGAGATGGCGTTCATCACTGTGCAACGGGTTGACGTGACGTCGGGTACCGGCATATGAGGCTAAGGGCCATCGTAGACGACGTACCAGATCTTCGCGGCATTAGCTGACTTAACATATTGTACTATGAAGATCTTGGCCAATTCCCTCTCCTGATATCAATGTTTAGAAAGTTTGGGTTACCGGGAACGTTGAAAATAGGCTGAATAGACCCGGGATTTTAGGTAACGGCGTCATGCTTTAGTTGTAATAACTGTTGCATACGAAGTGACAAGAGCTGTTAGTTCAAGGCTCAATGATACTATACGCGTAGTAGTACCTGAAGGAAAAATGTCCGGTTTGAGCGGCCTACATATACACTGTAGATGTATGGTGGGTTTGCATGCAATCCAGGTACCGTTGAACGACGAATGCGAGATCTTAGTGGACTGGGGCACAGTTATATCAGGACAATGACGATGGCAGGTGCCAGGTGGAAGCTAAATTCCAGATAGCCAGCAACCACGGCTCCGTCGCTCTAAAGCATGCCGCAGACATTGATTAGCGTGGATGATATCGTTAGCCCAGCCTACCCATTCATACAGACGCTCACTCCATGAATCGTGGTACTCAACGGTCAAATGGGCATGTTCACAACCCAAAAGGCTTTTGCACACGGCCTTGTAGTTGTACGGTCGCTGCGTAGTGTAGGTTAGCTCGCTAGGCTAGGTGCGGCAGAAAGTCAAGCTTGTACCGGTTGCCAGGCTGCCGGTGGCCGGCGGTGATCGACTGAACAGCACGCCCATCTGAAAACTGCCGTACTGGCCACAGCAGACATGTTTAGCAGATTCTTGTTCCGTGCTAAGAGACTGAGCCCGTGTTCGAATGAGGTAATGTGTATATCCGCTCTCGGATTCGCTACTCTTGGTTTGACCGGCGATGGAGTCGCAAGTGGTGGCAACCAGGCTCTCTCGCCGTAATAATGCCGTGGGCCTTCATTTCTTTGGAGGGACGTGCGACACCGTTGGATCGATCTCAAAGGCATCTGACAGATTGTCCTGTTAGTTCTCAGCAGCAGTAAGTTGGTGGAGTGCCAAAAGGAGTAACCATATCGTTTCCAGTACCACTCCTAGACTATACAGTAACGAACACAGCCACTCTAAGGGAGTCGCAATGTTCGGGTCGATGTGCAACCCGCGAAGCACGGGCACCATGGGTCGGACTGGCATTGGTTGCGATGCCTTGGAAGGATGAGGCGAGATACGTAAGGGAGCCCCCCGAGGCCCCTCGAGCCCCCTGTGCGAACAGACCGAAGGCTACTGCGTGGAAGCTTTCGTGGAACAAAGGCGTGTTCCATCGACCCTTGGAGCGTCATGGCTGCCCTGACAAGTGTTAGCGAAGGGCGCTAGAAGCTTTTCGGGAGATTCTGCACCAGGGGGTGCTCTCGGAGTCGGCGGTTACCCTACCCTTGCTAGGCTAGCAGCGTACCGTGGTATTTGAGAACCACTGGCCACGCTTCCCATGCCTACGCCACCCACGCATATAGATCTCCCACGCCCATCTGAGATGTCACGGTCAAGCGGAAGGCTGAAGGGGCTGGTCCGAACGTGCTGTGGTGTACCATGATGGAACCTCAGGTAGATAAAGCGACATAGGCTAAATACATCATGCTCGAGATGATGGTACAGTTCAGAGATGGTGCCCCACCACATGCCTCAGGTAAGATGAGCAATCGCCTTGCTAAGCTTCCTCCGGATCCTCTTCTAGGAAGAGTCGCATTCCGGAAATGGCGTCACACACCATGATAGATGGGAGCGTGTATCAAGCCTGGTTCTTGGGGGCAGGGTGTCGTGTCGGGCCGATGCTGACATCTTTGTGGCCTTTGCTGATGGTTCGAGTGACGTTCCAGGTTTGGAGGGTCATTGAGTGATGGTGGAGATGAAGAAACCGAGCCGAGGGGGTTCCTCTTGCCCCTGCCCTGTTAGATATTTTGAAGAGGAAATCCCAGGGCAAGGACTCCGATGACGGGCCGTTCTTACTCCCGACTTCCGTTGATTAGGTCGAGACGACGGGACAACATTCCACTTTCATTAAACCTGAAGCCAGGCACAGAAACGTCCAGGTGCATAATCTGAAGCAGCGATTAACAAGAAAGTGGATCCAGAAGGAGGAAATGCAAAAGACAGGAACAAGAACATGGAAGGAACTCACCGAGTTCTGGTGCCTTTCCTAGTTGGGCCTAGGTGGTATTTGGCTGGAACTATGTAGAGGACCCCGAGAAGAGAGGAGCACCTGCCCTTTACGTCGTCGCCTCGCGACTCGCACGGAAGAGACAGAATGCTTCTTGCCTGCCGGGCATGATGGGTGAGCTCAGACTGCGTACTGAGTGGCGATCACCCGGTGTTCCAGATGGAAATGGGAAGGAGTGACGGTGAGAAGCTGCTAGTGTGAGACAGATCATCGACGGCCAACCGAAACCGAGGGCAACAGAGCAAAGGTCAGTGCTCAGAAGTCCTCCTTCCATGGGAAGACGTTACCACCTTGCAAAGCTTTTTCAGACTCCGAGCATGTCCTGTGGGAATCACCGCCGTGGTTTATCTCGAAGATCCAAGACAGGCGAACCAGCCATTCGTTGTGGTCCATCACACAAGCACCATATCGTCATAGTCGTTTCACCCGGCTCGTCTCCAAACTAAGTCCGCCTTCAACGGGACCCAAGCGCTATCGCCAGTTTACCACCTCAGGACTTCCATCGCCATGATGGCCTCTACGGACCGGGTGGCAGAGGCAGGCGAAGATAATTGAGTGACTCTTCACGTTCCTGGGCACACCATTTTCCCCAGGTCGAAATCCGACTGGCCACCACAGACCAGTGGGCACATCCTGCACCTCGCTTTTTACCCGCTTTTCTTGGGTATCCTGATCCCCATCGAGTGCCGCTGGGTGTTGGCTGTGGGCGCTTCTCGGCTGAAGACTCCGGTCTACTTCGTCCACCCCCTTCACACCGACCCCCTGTCGAACCGGTCAAAGACGGCGTCCCAGCTTGTCCATATGGGATGCAACATGCTCGAACTCACCGCCGGCCGACTGCCTCATCCAGGTGTCGTCTGCTCCAGTGGCCGGCCGGAGATATCAGAGCATGGAGCCGGGATATCCTTAGAATAAAAAAGGGACTATCTCGTACAACGTCGCTCCAGGAACGTCGTGCCGCATGCCGTGTCGTCAAACTGCCGCCAAAGTGTTTCCAAGGCTGATTGTCGACTTTCCATCCAAGACATCCCCTTCGTTTGCCAGATGGGAACCGGATGAACCGATGAATCCCCCTTTGTCACCGTTTGGCTGGATTGCTGCTAATCCCTTGTTCGCTCGGGCTCTTGCGCTTTCCCAGCTCTTCGGGAAAGCATCGGTGTGTCTGGGTGATAGATCAACTGTCAAGTCTTCCATCCTGTTTGGGTTCCCAGACCTGTCTCTCTCAAGAGCCACGGCGCAAGGAAACGGACGGAACCATGGTTGACGGCTATTCCACCTCGCAAGCGCGACCCCAAAAGGGTCATGATCCTGCCAAGGACCCGGTTCAGGAAGCCTTGAGACGGCATAAGAACAGGGTTCCCCCGTCAACAAAGACACAACAAGTGCAGTGTTCTATCCGGTTGAAGTGTTTTGGCGGTCTTGTTGCCGTCGGGAATGCCCAGCTGTCTCCGACTTGGATGATATGTCGCCGGCCCTTTCCAATGTCATATCAAATGTGGCTAGTGTCGATTTGGGTGCCGAAACGGACGGTAGGTAGTTGTTTGGCTTTCATGGATCCGTTTCGTTGTTGTCGTCGTCCTCAATTACACCAGGAAATGGATGTGATTATCGAGAAACAGACGACACTGACGCTGCGGGAAAGCATGGAAAGACAGTCGCAACACCCCACTCCGGGCCTGAGCTGGGGCATGCATCGAGTCCTGACCCTGCACCACAAGTGCCGTAACGGTACATGGGAATCGCCAAGAGATGCCACATGCAACACCGATTCGAGATGCCTCCAGCACCCTGTCCACGGGCAGTTGTACCCCAACTTCCTAGCTCCTTCAAGCCACCTGGAGACAGTGCATGTACCCTCCGGGCTAGGGGTACGCTAGGGCAGCACCCAGTGGAGCTGGACAATCTGCTACAGTAGCAACTAGAAACTCGTGGGGCCGGGTAGTTCTAACTTGAGTCCTTTTCCATGTTATCACTCTGCTGTTTTTCACATGTGTGGCCTGCCCCGGTCTCCGGGTTTGACGTATGGACGTCCAGGGCCCGGGCATCTGTGGTTCCAATATGACGGGATCCTCTCTGCAGGTATGGAACAGGCAAGGACATGGCCATCATCCACTTCGACCTGCTATTCTGAGGTCAGTGGTTTTGAGGCCGGCTACTCTACCTCCCCATCCCCATTTTCCGGGCTGTAGTGTCTATGGAACGGTAACGGACCAAGGACCCCTTCTTCTCGGCTTCGGAAACCACGCTTCGTCATGGCCGCTGGGTCGTCCCAGCTTTTCCCACCTTAAGATTTGACGGGCATGCTCGACTCTCAAACGGCTAGAAACACAAGGACAAAGGTCTGACCCATCTATCTCCGTTTACTTCGATTCGATACCCGTCAAGGAACCTGAGCTCCACGTCTTACAAACACCGGCCGTTGCCCTTCACCAAACAGTCCGCGGCTCCAACTTGTCATCAACTCCAACCTCACCTGCCTCGATTGTGAATCTATATCTAGTCTGGGTCCTCCCTTCCATCCCACCTCCAGAGTCCAAACATCAGTAGTGACTACCCAGCCTTTCAACAACCTTCCACGTCTCATCTCGACTTCACTCGAACTCATCGATCTACGCCTATCTTACTTATTGTCCCAGCAAGACAGCTATCGGTTGGTGTGCCACATAACTAGGTAAGAACGATCTCGGGAGGTCCCGTAACCGGGCAGTCCCAATGCTTCTTATCACCCTAACAGGCTTTCCCTGACTTTTCTTCTGATTCTAACGTCCTATCAGAGTGCATCACCTTTCAGAAAAGAGTCCTCAGATACCGCTGAGGCCCACGTCACCGGCACTGACAGCTTTATCTGCGTATCGAATTTTCGAATTTCCTTTTCGGCAACCAACCAAGTGGCTTTAAGTAGTCTGGCCTTCTTTAAAGTGACAAAACAGCCCCATCGGACTATTACAATGGCACTTTCAAACGGCTGCGCGCACCATTTTGTCCTGATCAAGTCAGAGAGTAGCTTGATCCAATGGACATGTCAGCTATGCCATTCAGGGCCCCATTACTTCATCTATGAGTGCCGGTACTGCAAGATGAGAACGTGCCGTCCCTGCATCCCCGGGGCTGCTTAAGCCCGCTTCCGTACCTGGCCGGCACAGATCCAGGCCTCTGAGGGTTTTGCAGTGCCCCTTGGAAAATGGATCTGATAGGCGTGCCTTGAGGGTTACTCTGGGGCTGTGGCTGGTTATTCCATTGCAAGTACCGGTAAGTTGCATAGATTGAAAAGCTTTTCTGTCAATGCTGGTTTCCGTTTGGAGGCTAATCTTTTTTACGGCAGGCTGTTGGCACTTGCCCGATCAGTATCTCCGGGCAACGGGACAAACGCTGCCCACGGCGAAGGACGACCCCCAAGACGACCCCCAAGGCGATGCGCGATGATTTTTGTTTTCTCTTGGCAATCTTTGATCGACAACCGGCGGACAATACCACTCGAGAACCTAACGGCCGTCGTCACACCATTATCTTTGGGCATCCTCGTGGTTCATTTTGCGACGTTTTATGCTTCCCTTTTGTTCACTTCGACAACAGACGGTGAACACACAAGCCTTGCTTACAGGTATGGCATTACGGCCGCTCCTAGGGGTGGCGGGTGCGTGCTTGGGCAGAGTGTGCTGTCTTCGGAATCACCCTTATCCAACTAGCGAAATGGCAGACCCCGGATTCCGCTGTGTTGGATCTTGCACCACCCGCTGTCAGTCACTCAGTTACGCTTCTTGCGGGGAAGAACAGGCTGTCAAGACTTCCAGAACGAACCTTGCCTAGTTACCGGCCGGATCCACGGGTGAATGCTGGTCCCCCTTTTCCCCTTTGGCTTGTTTTCCGTTACCTTTTTGCGATGGATTATGGTTACACGTTGTGGCACGCGCCCAAAAAGACAAACAACATTCACTGGTTAGATCGAGTTTCACGGCTTTGATGGATATACCTGGTTAGACGAAAATAGGACGGGTTCCTAAGGAGGATATGGTTACGCGTTCCCTTTCTCTTACTTCTCATTTGGTGGGATGATCAAAATGGTTTTCAGCGCCTGTATAGAAGGAAATACCAGAGTGATTATGAAGGAAATACCCCGGTACGGGCTCGGAAAAGGAGGAATTCGAAAAGGTAGAGCGAAGATAGGAATGACTAAAGAATGGTCGATACAACCAATGGTGCGTGCCTCTGTGCTTCAGACCCGAGTGTTCCATCGGGCTTCCCAAAACGGCTATGTTCAGGTACCGTACACGATAACATTTAACTGCACTTATACACTTGTAAGTGCAAAGTCCCTGAATCAGACTTGGTGTAACCAAACCTCGTTACGGCTAACTATTTTCCCTTAGTCTATAGCTACCCTAGAGCAACTCTGCACTAACACTTACCAATTATCTCTTACTAACTTCCAACAAACTCCGAGTTTACCCTTTCTCGTGTAACACAACACAAGAGTCCGAACACACTTTAAGAGCCAAGCAGTAGAGACTTTGCCTTTGACGACGTCTCCTTTTCTTGAAAATCCATAATGTCTTGCATGCCTTGTGTCGGTTCTGAAGTCGTGTGTAACTGTGGCTTTTTCTGTTAATTCCACCTGTTAATTGTCAAGTTGAGCCTCATCTGTCTCGGACATAACCACTCTGCAACTCTGCGACTTTCGTTTCAGATGCTGCATAGAGATGGATTAGGGAACTCGAAGGCTGTTTATGTAACTCAGTCTCGGCTACGGTTTAACAAAAAGAAGCAAGAGGTGCTACTTTAGAGATCTAGGGCTGACAACCGTTGTAACATGAACAGCCCTCGAACATAAGCGGTGTTGTTCCGCATCTCTGTGTCTTTGTGTGTGTGTGTGTGTGCTGCTGATCTAGAAGCGGTCTAGCCAGGTTATCAACCAGTAGATAGCTGGATGCAGGTGACGATGATGGGAATGGAGGCAAGTACAGGCGTTGACCAAATACAATGTCTAACCAGGAACGCGAATAATGAGCCCTACTAGGTACATATCTGGTGACGGTGGTTCAACAGGCAATCATTCTCTTTGCTCTTCCACAGGAACCTACCTAGTGGTGGTGGTCAGATTAACTCAAGTCTAGAAATTGTACCGTGACCTCTAGCAGACGTTGGTGGGGAGGAAGTGGCCAGACCAACTCATACCGGCTAACAATCCTCGCGAAAATCACATGGGAAAAACACCATGTGTTTTATCTGCATGGTACTTTCCCAGAAGCAACTTTAGGTTGTCACTACTCATTCGTCCACTCATCATTTCAGTTTCTCTTCACTAGTGACACCTACCTATACCCTTTAGGTAAATACATCTACCTTTGTAACATCACTTAACTCAATGACTTCTCTGTAGGTTGACGATTTCGGCATGGTTCAAGTTAAGTACTGACCTCTCACCGTGAGATCTCCCGGCATATTTTCTAACCGATATATCTGCTGTTTCCGTTGCATAAACTCCTTTTGGCTTGGTTGCCATAACAGGAACTCCATGAACCTCATTCTGGTAACAAAACCATCCATCAGCACCAAACAAATCCCCATATCGGCCGTACGTACCCCATACCCGGTACATGCAGTATGTTTCATCAGCCCAGCACAACGTGTCCCCAAACATCCAATCTTCTCGCCAGAAATTCATCCAAGCAATTTTTCGTTCCAGAGTCTCCTATACCGCTAGTAGACCCCGACATTCCCCGGTGCGTTATAGGTAAGGTAGGGACGAAACGCAAATCGAAGCTTCTATGCCTGCTGCTACTTTCCATGGACGCTTCTACACTGACTTCCATTCCTCTACCCGCCCCGCAAAGCCCGAAGCTTACAAGGGAGCGGGCGGCAGTTGGAAACGCCGTGCAACGTATCTCCCGCCGGCCGCGGCGGTCTGGGTTGGCTTTCCATATTCCTAGACGCTACCTACTTACCAGCTCTTTCGCTTCGGTCCTGTCCCCCAGTCCAGTGTCTCCCAGTGATCTCACTGATCCCAGTGAGTGAGGTTCCCCGCAGAATCGCAGGTCCGGGGGTACTGGGGTGCGGCTTCCGGTGGGTTTTATAGAGAACTAAAAGATGTAAGGACCCGGTTTGAGTTGGGGAAAGGAAGGAGCGAGGGAAACATGCAAAGCAAAAGTGCCAGCCAGGAAGGAAGGAACATTTATCTCATTCCGAGGGGCAGTTGCGGCTGGCTGGTTTTGTCGGTTAACATCGCTGTACCTACCTTCCTCTTGGGTTGGGAAATTCGTTCACAGTATTGTGAACAATCACAGCCGGTGTAGGTATGAATCGAGGATACTGTAAAACACGAAATTATCAGCGAGAAACATGAAAAAGAAAAAAAAAAAAAAGAAAAAAATCCATCTTCAACTCGTGTTATCCTCTTGATTCGGCTTCTAATCCCACGATATTTATTCATTTAGTAACGATCTCGCCGCGGCATCTCGGTACTTCCTGTTAGCGCACCTAGAGTAGCGTATGTAGGTACAAATGCGGTAACTCCGTGGTGTTAGTGTTAGTGCCCAACCTACCTACCGAGACAACCTTGCCGCATATCTATCTATTTCACCTAGGTAAGTAAGCTCGGTAAGTTTGATCCGCCCACTTCCCGTTCATGTCTCGTCATTTACTTTTTCCTTCAAACTTTCTTCCGAGGTATCAAACTCTTCGTTGTCTCAAGTTCTCTGTTTCATCCGGGTCAGCTTTCTGTTCGATCTCAACCTAACTCATCGTAATATCCCCTGACACCGAGACCTAGTTCTGCTTGCACTTGCCATATATGGCATATCTCCGAAGCCCGTTTGTCGGATTCCGTCGCTAAACCCTCCACCAACTGTTGTCTGTGCAACTCGAGTTCTTTCACCGAGTTTGAGAGTCCATGGCACATGCTACCCACTGCAGCAACCTCTGATTACGCGCGGGCGGGGGAAGCAACAGCAACCGAGTTGTCGCCAGACTGATAACCATAGAGGAGAATTTGGAGAACCATAACTTGACGTGCTACAATACCAACCCATCGGTCCGATGACCCAGAGACTTACTTGATGGTGTTTTGGATGTAGTTCCAGAGCGACGACATCGCAAAGAACAGAAAGAAGAAGGGAAAAAGACGAAAACTTCAGGTGAGGTTAGTCACTTTCCAATTCAAGTTCGCCCTACCTGTACATGTATCGCCAAGTCCCACATCACATCAAGCTTCCATTACAGCGTACATACATGACGCTAGGCGCTAGATCCCGATCTGCTTTGGCTTGCATAGCGTGGTGTCGTTGTGCCGTTGTGTCGTTGTGTTGCCCTGCAGCAGCTTACTGCAATCCGCTGCAATCGGAAAGAAGCTTCGAAGCTTGAAGCTCGAGGGGTGCTTTGATAGGAACCGCTTATACCGCTAGAGATGAATTTGGTGTGGTGTGTGTGGTGGACTGGTGGTGTGCTGCAGCTCGCTCAAGCAGGTACCGCAACGACGTATGTAACGGCTTTTAACGACCGATGAAGGTGTTTGTACAGGTACATGGTGCGGTACTTGCACATGCGCTGCCCAATTCCGAAATTGCAGTACCTTTTGGCGGGGAGGGGAGGGGAGCTCTAAAAATAACCGATGTTGACGCAGTTGGGAGCTACCGTATAAACTCGCGAAATTGGACTTCGGGAAAGCACATACGGGTAGGGTTAAAGGTGTCATTCAACTACATACATGCGTTTTTTCTGCTTCTTTCCTCCTTTAACCCTACCCGTATGTGCTTTCCCGAAGTCCAATTTCGCGAGTTTATACGGTAGCTCTATGGACGACTCTTCTACCCCACCCTCCATCATCAAGAGAGCTTCACGAGCCGAACCATGGTAACGGGGACAGTGACAAATAACGGCGTTGCTGTAGTGGTGTTGAGAGTTTGTTTTGCTTATACGAGACTCTTTATTATGCTGCTTTGGCAGGACGAGATATAGGGAGATGGGATTATGGATGGGATGGATGGGCAGGATGGGATGAACTGTCGACGTACATATCTTTGGATATGTGCTTGGCTCGATTGGGAATATTCTTAGTTTGTGAAATGGCGCCTGTTCACACCAACCCGGGTTGATGGAAGATACAGGTCACTGCTCGTCGTTCGACTCATAAACCGAGATGCGAGAAGTTCCAAGTTGAGTAAATGGGTGGGACTGAAGTGTAGTGGATGATCTGACCGAGCGAGATATCGTGGGCAGCACCGGAGTTAGCTCCGTACTTACCCTTGTCAACTAATTCAAGTTGCTCTCAATCGCCATTCCCCTCTATTTTCTCCATCACATTCACCTCTTTGCGCTGTTCTCTTTCTTCTTCCTTGCTCATGAAACATGCAAGAAGATGAAAACGGAAACCCAGAGCGGAGTGACATGTAGCCATCTCGTAAGCCCATCGTCTCATCTTGAAATTTTACCCACACAAAGCGGAGGTATCTCGGTTTTCCAAGGCACTTGCCTGCCCTTTTAGTTGACATCTTCAAATGAGGCCATGTATGCAGTAGACACCGTATTGAGCCCACTGGAAATCTGGAATGTCACTATAGAAGCCTAGGATGGGAGTTGAGGTCTGACAGAAAAGGGTGTGAAGACGTGGTGGTGAGAAAAAGAACGTGAAACTTAGTGATCGTAGTAAGATCTGAAACAACCGACAAAGGAAAACTACTTACCCGTTAGTACCGATACATACTTCGTTCCTTCTCCCGTCCGGGAATTCATAGTTCAGAGCCGGCGCATGATGGGCTCATGGTGAATTTGACTGCACTCTCCGGGGCATCCTCGGGCCGAGGCAGCGACATAGACCGGAGCGGCTTTCCCATTCCCCATCATCTTATGTAACGACGAGACATCACGATACCTCTGTGGAATATCTATTCGAGACGAGTCCAAGTATCCTTGCAATCAAAGAAAGAAGGATACATAGACTGACCCAACCAGAATGCCTCCTCTTAACCGAGCATTACACAAGCGCCTGCCTACCCAAGCAAGCGATATGGCCCAGGGTCGTTGAGGACATCTCATCACACTTCACATTCAAGGATGCAGTCCTTCTCTCTAATGAAAATGATAGTGGTTTGCCAGTCCATGTATTGCATCATGAACAACGGCCGGTATTTTCGGCCGACGATGACGGGAAACGTTGCGACCTTCCTTCGCTCGCCTAATCGCCTTATGTGCAAGGGCCCGTCTTTCCCGTTTTGAGGGCCAGGGAAGTGGAAAGCTCGGGTCAATTTGTGCCGAACCTGTAATGTGGTTCGCAACTTCGCAAAGATGCGTCGTGCGGCCGGCTGCGGACTGAAATCCAGTTTGTTGTTGTGCTCCTGGTAGGTGGGATTTTTGTCTAGGTAGACTGTTGTTGCGTCTGTGTGCGAGTGGAAATATCTTTGACTGAAGAATTGTCGGAAAAAGGGTTCCCTTCTGCGATCATCTTATCTCCCTCAACGGGGGTCAGAAAGCATTCATTGTGCGTACAATCAGCTTCGACCTTTGAGCTTACCTCTAGTCTACGTCCGGGGCACCGTCCAAATCCCCGACTTCCCCTGCCCCAAGATCCCCTCAGGATCCAGAACCCCCTTCAACCGTCTCGAAACCTGCCCCAGAGCATCCCTCTTCTCACCAGCCCCAGCTCCAGCTCCAACTCCAAGCCAATCAAACTGCCCTCTAACTCTATCCATATAGTTCAAATGAATTCTATACTCCGACACCCCATGTCTCTCCGCATCCTCCACCAGCCCGTCAAACAGCCTCTTGACCCTCTCTCCCTCGTCGTGCGGCCTGTACACCACCAGCGCAATGGCGATCACGTACCGTCCATAGACGTGAAAGTCAGCAAACACGTCAAACCCCGCATCCTCAGCCATCTGCTGCGCTCGGTCTCACCAGGCCTGCATCTCGATCCCGTCCGTGGGGAACAGCGGGGAGAAGCAGATATGCCCTCCCTTCCCCTTGGGACCGCCACGGGTTTCCATCAAAGCGGCGTTCTGAGTCCCCGGGACACCGTATTGCGGGATGGCTGTACTCTCTGGGGGGACTGCTAGTTTGGATGCGTTGAGCCAGCGTACCCCTTCTTCTTTAGTAGTAGTGGCGTCGGCTCGAAACGTTAGCTTGACGGACGCTCCGGGGATGGCGACCGCGATGCGCTCCTGCACCAGCGCCCAGTTGACGTCGACGATGGCGGGGGAGGCTGCGTAGAGTGCGAAGTCGCCGGTCCAGTAGCCCCACCCTCTTTCTTTGGCGAGGGCGGTCATGTCGGCGTTGGTACCTCTAGCGCAGCCGCTCTGGTGGAGACCGGGGCCGAGGACGCGGGGGACGAGGTCGGGGCAGGTGGGAAGGTCGGCGAGGCCGCAGCGGAACGGGTTGGAGATGGAGGTCTGGTTTTGGATGACGTTTTCGCGCTCGAGATGGGCGAGAGTGCGGACCATGGAGGTGAGCTGGTCTTGCGATGGGACGCCGACCTCGCAGAGAGCGAAGCTGGCCGGCACGGGGGTGAGATGGATGCAGAGCTTGGTGACGATTCCGAAGTTGGATTGGTAGAAGAGGCCGTCTATGCTTGGGCCGTAACCGCTGGTTTTGTCTGTCAGTCAGATGAGGAAGACGAACGAACCCTTTGAACAATGGCCACAATGGGCTGCCTGGAAGTGCGCCCATTCCGGTTCTGACCACCTCACCGCAGTACCAAGCACCACCTCCATACCGCACTGCTGTTCTGCATGTTCACCATTGGGGGTGTAATCAAACCCCCTCTCGAGGGTGTTTCCCGAGACCGAACCCCAACCGAGCGTTGGGCATGATGGCCACAGACGGTACCCTTTCTCCTGGATGTAATTGTACAGATCGAAGAAGGAGACACCGGGCTCGACGATGGCGTAGGCGTGTTCTTCGCTCACTTCAATGATCTCGGAAGACGCGGAGAAGTGAAGCAGAATGGACCGAGGGCTTTGTCCAGAGAGGAGAGGGGGACTCGGGGAAAGGTCGCGGACCAGCGGGGATGACAAAGGTGGTGTTGTCGGAAGCCGGCTCTGGCTATCCCCGACCCGACCCCCGACCCCCGACCCCCGACCCCCGGCTCCTCGGCTTGTCGCTGAATGCGATATTGTACCAACATGGAAGATGAAGTAAGGCGGTGATAATGTCTCAGGCAACCCGTAGTTCCACTTAAGTGGCTGTAGTACAATAGTATGTTGCTCATGGGACCTGACCGCCATGAGCTTTTGATGAGTATAAACTCGGGAGGAGTTCCTCTCAGGAAAGCCCACACCACCTGGAAGCAAACTTATCACTTATACTTCGACTCTGTTGTTTTTAGCTTGCCTCTTCAGTTATGGCTGAATACATCTCCTCTGTTGCGCCCAAAGACGGCCATGACAATGGTGTCAGGGACGCAATCCCTGGAAAACAACCGGAAGAACTTCCACCGGCGCCGAGGTACTTCCATGACCAAAACCACTCGGGCTTCATGAGACCGGTTCGATTTGAGGGCGAGATAACCAATTTGGAAGTAATCGGAGAAATCCCCAAAAGCATCGAGGGCACCTTCTATCGTGTCATGCCGGAACCGCACTTCCCATCCTTTGTCCCCAACAATCCCTGGTTCAATGGCGATGGCAACATCAGTGGCTTCTACTTCAAGGATGGCCATGTCGACCTCAAGCAGCGTTATGTGCGGACCGAGAAGTTTGTCCGTGAAGCAGAAGCACGCCGAGCCTTGCTGGGTGAGTAGCATCACCGTCTTGCTTCATAGCAGTTGAGCGTTGGCTGACACGAGTCGCTTAGGCAAATACAGAAATAAATACACCGACCTGGTCGAGTTCAAGATCCGGTCGACTGCCAACACCAACATTGTCTACTGGCGTGGCCAGCTCCTCGCGCTCAAGGAGGACTCGCCGCCCTACGCCATGGACCCTGAGACGCTCGAGACGTTTGGCGTCTATGACTTTGACGGGCAGCTCCCGAGCCTCACGTTCACAGCACACCCCAAGTTCGATCCGGTAACGCGGGAGATGGTGTGCTTCGGATACGAGGCCAAGGGTGACGGCACCCGCGATATCTGCTACTACAGTTTCGGGCCCGACGGCAAGATTGCCGAGACAGTCTGGCTGGTGAGCCCGGTGTGCGGCATGATCCACGACTTTGCGGTCACCGAGAACTTTGTCATCTTCCCCATCATTCCCCTCCTGTGCGATGTAGAGCGGATGAAACAAGGCGGCGAGCATTGGCAGTGGGACTACAGCATTCCCATGTATATCGGAGTCTTGCCGCGCAGAGGGGCCCAGGGCAGCGATGTCAAGTGGTTTGAGGCGCCGCATGGATTCGCCGGCCACGTTGCCAACGCGTTCGAAGACGACAAGGGCCACATCCAGCTCCAGATGGCCTACGCCAAGGACAACGTCTTCTTCTGGTGGCCAGACGCGAACGGCAAGGGGCCCAGGCCGGGCGAGGTGGAAGCGCGCTTTGCCAACTTCGTGCTCGACTACCGGTCAGACGAGCTTCGGCTGGCAGAGCCGACATACTTGGTGGACGACGACATGGAGTTTCCGCGCATCGATGACCGTGTGGCGACGCGGCAGCACAAGCACACCTTCTTCTGCATCTTCGACCGCAAGGTGACCGACTTTGAGTTTATCATGCCGCGCTTGGGAGGGGGCGCGCCCATGTCCAACGGCATCGCTTACTTGAACCACGAGACGGGGGCCATTCAGCGGTACCTTCCCGGACCGCGCAAGCTCACGGGCGAGTGCATCTTCATCCCGCGCGGCCCAGGAGCGGCGGAGGGCGATGGGTATGTGATGGTGCTGCTGGCCAACTACGAGGACATGTGCAGCGAGCTCGCCGTGTTGGACACCAAGGACTTGACCAAAGAGGTGGCCCTCGTCAAGTTGCCGGTGCGGTTGAGGCCGGGCCTGCACGGTAACTGGGTCGACAAGTCGGACGTTGATGGACACCCGGCGCCTCTTTGATGTTTGATGTATGGAGAGATGTTGTGAGGTGACGGGAGTGTTGAAAGAGTTGCCGGGCTCGTGTACATATGTTATTGTTAGCGCTTATAATGTGGACCACATGCCAACTGGGGTGCCGTAGCGTGCATTAGCGTGACTATCAGCATGCGGGGACAGCGGTACAGATAGCGAACATATCACCGTACTGTGTACATACAAAACACCAGGGACAGGGCATCACCAGTTTGGGGTGTCATCACCAAAACGTCCGCCAGACATTTCGACAAGGAGAGCATAATTCCATGGAAGAGGACCGTCCAAGGAAGCGCGTGCGCGTTTCCATTGCCTGTCACAACTGCCGAAATCGCAAATCACGGGTACGTCCTTCACAAACGGTATAGAGCTCGAGGTATGTGGTCAACTCACAACTCACACCAAGAATCCGGAAACAGTGCGATGGCCAACATCCAAGTTGTGGCCGATGTAGAGAGCTCGACGCGCCTTGCGTCTATGACGAGCCACCGGCACATCACCGCCCGAGGTCAGACACTCATCCTTCGGACATCCTTTCCAGGCTGAGTGCTCTTGAAGACAGAATCAATACTAGAGGCACTGGGTCCAGCCGTCAAGATGTCACCCAGGACGACGACGACGTCGATCCCCAAAATGACGACAGCACTAGCAATGGACTGCTGGCTCCGCCTACGTTAACAGGGCTCCCACGTTCGCACCAGGAGGATGCCAACGTCGATGGCATGGGCGAGGTCCAACTGACAGATGACGGAGAGAACTGCACATATTTTGGTCCTTCTTCCAACGTGGCCTTGGTACGCCAACTTTCTCTAGCCTTGACTCGAGCTCAAAGTCAAACCTCTCGCTCACGAGCTATGCCGACCTCCGCAACTTCACTTGCATCTTCAAGGTATTCGTCACTTCAACAACCTCGTTCAGAGAGCGGACGGCGAGGGCCTTCAAATGACGGGGCCAACATCGGATCCAGACCCGGCCATCATGTCCCTCCGGAACCAGAAGCCACAAATATCATTCACGAATACTTCAGCACCATAGGCCTTTTCTTTCCCGTCATCCATCAAGACACATTCATGAGCACCTACAACGACCTGCGGAAAAGAGGGTTCATGGGCGCTCGTCGCGTGTGGCTGGCTCTGCTCTATATGATCATTGCTACCGTGTACCGTACCGATTCTCCCTCTACTCCCTCCGAGACATCGGCCGAAACCTCGGAAAGATACTTTCAATGGGCAAAAGACCTGGTGATGCCACAGGTCTTGATCTCGTCCAGTTTAGAAACCGGTAATAAAGCGTTCCGGTTCTAAATTCCAAGGAGAAAGTCCCGTCGTGGTTGCTGTTCACCCCAACGGAACCGCCCGCTAACATCTTGCTCCCTCCCACAGTACAACTCCTCGGCCTCATGATTGAGTATCTCCATGGCTCTTCCCAGTCAGCCCAGCTCTGGACCTTACACTCGTTGGCCGTCAAGGCAGCGTTGCAAATAGGCCTGCATTCGGCCGACGCGTCTCGACACTTGACCCTTCTCGAGCGTGAGATGCGCAAGCGAACGTGGTTCTTGATTGTCATGAACGACAACAACCTGAGCGCCAAATTCGGTCGGCCCATGACCATCCCTCCCTCTCTTCAGAAAAGACTGGATCCCCCACAAGACATCAGCGACATTTTCCCCACCATATACGCAAGCCGCAGCGTTATTGCAACGAGCGTGGACGCCTTCAAGTGCGGAGTCCAACTCTCACATCTCACATGTCAAGTGGTCTCCCAACTATACGACGACAACGCAGGCGGCAACACACTCAACCACGTCAACACCTTCGACACCCTCCGTATGGCCTTCGATCTCTCCTGGAAGTTATCCCAATGGCACCAGTCCGTACCACCAGACTTCCGCCCGAGAAATCTAACTACTGATCCTCCTCCTCCTCCTGCCCTAAAATCATCATCATCATCACCAAGCATCGAAGCCCAACGATTACGAGCCGTTCTCAGTCTTCGGTACTACGGATTATGCACCCTCGTCGAGCGTCCAGTTCTCCTAAAGTTCCTCAGCCTCCAGCTGGAACCTGGGCATAGCTCGGAGGACAACACGAACGGCAACAGCAGCGACCAAGTGCCGCAAGTGGCAATGGGAGTGGCCCAACAAGTGGCTCTACTGCGCGAGGGGTCCGGCGTAGCATCTTTGCGGAGATGTATCCGTGCCTGCAGAGAATGTATAGCGCTTGCGAAAGCGATTGTGGAGCGGTGGCAGAACCAGAAGGTGCTGCTTTCGGGTGCTTGGTGGTTGACTGCTTATCACGGTACGTTTATGCCATGTTGGCACTCACTGACTCGACTCCCTTGGTAACACCCACTAACAATGAACCATATCATCTTTACTTACCGAACTAACCAACATCACACAACAGCCTTCGGCGCCTCCCTAACTCTCTACACCGTCCTCCTTATTGCCGGCACAAAACCCTCCTTCTCCGACCTTCTCAGCAAATCCGAGCTCATAACGGTGCGCTCCGCCCTCAACGATGCCGTCGACTTGCTCTCCCGCTTCAGCGAAAGCCTAGTCATTTCGCGGTGCCACGATTGCCTGGTGAACTTTCTTCGTGCTTATGACTCGGTTGTGGTGGAGCAGCAGCAACAGGAATTACATACCTCTACAACTGTGCAGAACAACAACCCTGATAACTCTTCTCAATCGTTGCCGCCGACTACCTCCACCTCTACCGATATGCCGCAGCAGGGGCAGCAGCATGTGAGCGGGGATGGGCATGGCGGCGGCGTGTCGGGTTCGGGTTATGTTGGAGTCGGGACTACGTTTCCGATTGTTGATGTAGATTATTACACCGGCGCTCCCTCCTTGGCTGCTGCTTTGGGGGATTTTACCGGCGTTCCTTTGGACTTTGGCCACTGGGGGGATCCTCTACCTTACATGTAGCTCAATCGCGTTTTAGTGTACATACATCAAGACGGAACGAACCTCTTGTATCATCGTGTGCGTTTTTTATGTATATTCACCTGCTACTGTAAGTACTGCGATGGGGATTGCCGAGCAGTCAGGGACTCAGGGTGGTCCATCACCGGTAAATAACATCGGGGAAGCCATCGGCTTGTGGGCCTGCCTGCCTACCTGCTAGACCTGCCTGATTGGAGGCTAAGGATGAGACTAAGCCCAGCCTGGGAAGAATACGTACCTAAGCCTACAAATACTATGTAGTGCAAGTTAAAGTCTTGCCGTCGGGTGTTCCGATCTGTCGGGTGTTCCGATATGGTTCCCGGACCGCCCGACGGGATCCCCAGTTTTCCAGTACTCATGGTCGTATGTATGATTTTTTGTACAGAATAAGGCCATATATAGTATAGATGAAATGGCTGATAATGGCAATGTGGTCGAGGATAGTGATCGTGATAGTAATCGTGATAGTGATGTGTTGAAAAAAAAAAAAAAAAACCTTCAACTCGGTCGTTTTTTAGCAGGTGCACCCCGAATATTACGGATTTATAGGAATTATTCTAGCAATGGCAAAACGAAAAACCCCCAAAACACTCAGAATAGGGACTGAAGGTCGAACGTGGTAACCCAGGCAACCACACACCCATCTGTCTCAGCCCCTGAAGCCCTGAAGCCATTTGTTTTGTTAAATGACATCAGTGGCTGCTGTCCAGAGTGTGCTGGAGAAACAGGAGGAGAAAGCTTATCAGCTTATCAGTTACCTTAACTAAAAGGCTGGGGTAGTGTTTTCGAAGTCTTAAATCCTTCCAATGTCTTAGCCTGCTCCGAAGAACCGCATACCAGAAAGCATCGTGAGAATTATATGTTCCCGTGGACCGAGATTGTGTTACTCGAAAGAGCCCCCGATCCCGGCTTCGCAGGTATTCCTGTGCAACCCAGATATCGCCAAGATCGAATCACCTGGTGCGATCAGCCTGAACAGCAGCAACTACCGACGTCCTTCATCGCCATGTTACCGACGGAATAGGTCGCTCAAGACTCGTGACGGAGCTATGTTAGACGAAGGGGCTTGTGAATCGATAACCCGGTTGGTGGTTTGGTGATCCTTCTGGGATTTGAAATGGGCGTGGCACACGATGGGATTCATATTCAGAAGCACCAAGGTTGCCGAAGTCTCGTCCTTGTCCCTGACAACATGTGAAAGCTCGATAATTTTGAGATGGCTTCGCGCTTTCGATAAAGGAGGTAAAGTCGTGTGGAAGGACCGTTACTGAATCTGGTCCATCTGACCCAGCTCCTTGGTGGGAATGGGCGTGAGATGACGATGAATGACCACTAAACAAGCAGCATGGAAAGCCAATGGTTACGGAACTCGTATTTCGAACTTGATAGGAACATCCCAGAATGCCGAATGAGAAACGTGGTTCTATAGTCAGATCTGTCGTTACAGAACGAATATTAGCAACAGCTCTTGTCTGCATCTCAGTATATTATGACGGAGCCAGTCCCTGATGTTCTGTGCATCATCGGATTTTGTCCGGATGTCCGCTTGGTTCAGTACTACTAATGGGAGATAATACCGAGGACCAAGTTCGTTATTCCCATGAAGCATTGCCGTGCCTGTGCTTCAATGTCGTCATCACGTTGACAATTAACCCACTCCCGTCTGTTCCCGTCAGCCACATTTCGGGCATCAGACGTCGTGAGAGAAGGGGATTATGGGTCTGAGGATATCGGGACTCGTCCTGTGCCCCGTCCGGATGACCCATGTGAGCCCCCGGAAGTGAGGCAGGCTGCATCTGAGGGCGGACGAAACCGTCTAGAAATCCGGGCATTATGACCGCCGACAACAGCCATACGACGATGAAGAAGAACGGATGCCCGGACATGGTATCGCCGCATCACGACAGCATCGCTCTGTATCACCTTCCGTACTCTGTTCGGGGCTTTGTCAATGAGTAAAGGAGCAATGAGACACTCTCCATTTGTGCGTCCATGCTGGAGCCGACAGTCACCATCTAGGGCCAATCGCCGATTCCCGGGTTGTTATAACACCCACCGAGCAGACTGCGCTTCGTGATTGTGCGATATTGCCGAGTTGCTTCAGCAACTGCCGTCGCTTGCCGGGAGCCGGACTTGACGCCGCAAGTTACCCGGTGCCGCGTATGAACGGGTTCGATCATTTGATTTGTGGCCGTGTAAACTGCACCGCATGTTCCTCTGTTGTGAAAAGCCCTAGACTTGGGACGTCCGATGATAACTAATGTGAATAGAGACAAAAAGAGAACATGCCATTCTATAATAACGCACAATGACATGTGGTGGGACAGTAGGCATCCCAAGAATACCCCCGTGAGACACACCAGACACGGCACTCACGTGGCGCTTGTTGTCTCACTCTGTGTTCTGACCAGAAAAGGGAGCAGTGGATATGACCCGAGCTGCCAATTCGGGATACTTCACGTTGGACCAAAACGCCGCTTTCGCACATCAACAACAAGCAACGAAGGGGCGGAGGAAAAGCGACCCAAAGAGACGGAGCTCTCTATTCGCCCTAAATAGGTGAATAGGCCCCTTGTGGGCTTTGCGACGCTAATTAACGGAGCGTTGTATTCGGGATCATTCAGGCTTTGTAGCGGTGTAATAAGCACAAGCCGCGAGCCGAAGCTAGGGGTGACCCAAAGTTCCAAACTTCCTTTGTCGCTTATTCAAGGTGCTAACCCTATTTGGAGCTTGGGTCAGGCATGAAACCAATTTTGATCTGAAACACTTGGCAGCCTATGACCGAGAAGATGTTGGTGATTTGACGTCAGTTCATGGCAGCAAACTCTTGACCTGAAGTGTTGGTGGTAGCCTCAATCTCTGACCGCCCAACGAGCTGCTGCGCGCTGATATCATCGAGAATATGTATCTTTGGCTGCATTGCGCCTCCTGGCAGGCATAGCATCGCCGAGTATTGCAATCGCGAGCCATTGACTTTTGCGGGCTGCTGCCCTGCCATCGTTTGACTGGCCAGCTTTGTCCATGACCATGGGTCAGGCGGAGGATGGCAGTGATTCGCTTCTGCCGTAGTGCGGCTGGCATATTAGGGATGACCGGTTAAGTCTCGGATTCTTAGTTGAGGTCGGACAGCCTTGTAAGGCCCCTGGCGTCAAAGAAAGCGACACATGAGAGGAACGACGCACGATACACGACATGCTTGGAATCCACGCGCCTTTCACTGATGTCCAATGCATCACTCGCCAGTTCCAACAGATGTGGCTCTCGTGGTGACCATGGCGGGTATATATGCCATCGAGTGCTCCTTGATCCTCCCACACCGAACTTGTCATCCACCAGACTTGCCTCTTGTCGACCATCTCTGTCCTTCCATTCTCTCTTTTTGATCAAAATGGTTGCCATTCAATGGGGTGCTCTCGCCGCCCGGGCTCTCTTTTTCACATCCACCCATCCCCACCAACATGCGGTGGACAACAGCGCCTATCCCAAAAACGCACAAGATGCTGCCAAGGCGCTCCAAGAGTGGTATGACCAACCGTCGGGTCTCTGGAAAACAACGGGCTGGTGGAACAGCGCCAACTGCCTCACGGTTTTGGGCGACTTGGCTTTGGCAGACGATGCCGTCGGCCAAGCTATAGGGATAAAAGACATCTTCCAGAACACCTTCTACAATGCGCAAAAGACGGTCGCGACGGCGGACAAGCTGCTTGGGAAAACCGGAATGTTTATCTCGACGTACAAGTACGAAGAGCACAAGCACAAATCATCAAGAAAACGAAAGGCGCAGGGCTTCCCTAAATTCCTCAACAACTTTTATGACGACGAGGGCTGGTGGGGACTGGCGCTGGTCCGGGGATGGGACGCAACAGGCGATGCCGCAATGCTGACCGCTGCGCAGACCATCTTTGATGATATGGCGGAGAATGGCATCGACTCGACATGCGGAGGAGGCATCTGGTGGAGCAAAGACAAGAAATACAAGAACGCCATTGCAAACGAACTGTTCATCGCTCTAGGCGCCAGCCTCGCCAGCCGGGTGCCGCTGAGGAAAGACTCATACATACGCCAGACCGTCAAGAACTGGAACTGGTTCAAGCAGAGCGGCATGATCAACGACAAGGGCCTCATCAACGACGGGCTGAAGATAACGGACAAGGGCTGCGTCAACAACGGAATGCAGACGTGGTCGTACAACCAGGGCGTGATCTTGGGCGGCCTGGTGGAGTTGTCCAAGGTGACGGGCGACCAGTCTTTCCTGGCCGAAGCCGTCACCATCGCGAATGCGGCGCTCAAGGCGCTTCAGGATGAAAAGGGTATCATCCGCGAGATCGACCGGTGCGAACCCAACTGTGGCGATGACGGGAGTCAGTTCAAGGGCATCTTTGTGCGCAATCTGGCCTACCTCCACAAGGTAGCGCCGCACGACAACTTCCGGGACGCCATCCTCAAGAACGCCGACTCGATCTGGGCCCACAACCGCAACTCCAAGAACCAGCTGGGCATCAACTGGGCAGGGCCAGCCGAGGCAGGCAAGGGGCCGACGGCAGCAACACACAGCTCGGCTATGGATGTGCTGGTGGGTGCGTTGGCGGCGATCAAGTATTGATGACACTTTTTGCGTTTTCGTTTCTCATTGTTTGCTTTCGTTTCGTCGTTTTCCTACGGGTCTCTGCGATGGCGTTTGGGCTATGGTTCCTTTGTTGGTTCAATGGTTGCCACGATATGTAATGTAATACCAAGTGGAATGGGATACGGGCGGCTCGGGGTAATCGGTAATGGTGTTTGGTAGACTGGACCATCGTACTTGAATAAAGACCAAACAGTATTGACACTATCGCGGTCGATCCATGCTGTGACCAATGTGATGTTTGAATGGCTGTGGTGAGAAGGTAGGGAGTTGTTTGTTGTTTGTTGTTGGTTCTGTTGTGACTCGACTGACGAACACAAAACAACTGCCCAGTGCCGTGAAGTGGAAAACGGGGGCCTCGAAAAGGTGCTGCTGCCTAGCTGGAATTGAAACCTCGGCCTCCGGTTGTTCATTTTATCAATTGATGCAGGTGCAGAGATTTCCCTGATACAGCGAAGCGCGTGTCCATGCTGCCTTCTTGATGTGATTGAAGTTGTTGACTGCTCCTTCCCTTGATGTTGTTCAGTCTTGAGCAGTGGAATGTTTTGCAGTGACGTTGGAGGTTAGAGCGACCCCTAGTCGAAGCGGGGTACAGCGGCCTTGGCAGTCTCCCCTCACAGTCTCACGGCAGGCACCGCACTTCCACGGCTTATCAACCATCTCACTTGAAATCATCACCGACTGTCCATCACTCAGTCCTAGACCATCAAACTTCATCAATATGGACGCGCCAGAAGACGACTTGGACATCAAGCTACAAAAGATATCCAATGACCTCATCGCCGATTTCGACGCCTCCCTAGTCCCCTTCCTCAGGAAGCCAAATGGCTCAGGCGGCACTGTAGTCAGGTCCCGTGTGCGTTCTCGTGAGCTGGAGCGCATTATTGCCGGGGTAAGTGTCTTCAAAGTCATATACGATGACAGCCAGGACTAACGAGATTCATAGCTCCTTGATCCTTTCCAAGAACTACCACAGCTTCTGGACCCCTACCTGCCCAAATGGCTTCCCATCCTTGCTGAGAACTTCCTCGAGTATCAGCAGTCTCGTTACCGGAACAAGCTGCTCTCAACCCGGTCTGACCTGCTGACTCCGTTGCCGAGGGCCATTTGCAAGATCTTGTACACTTTCTGCAAGATCCGTGGTGAAAAGGTCATTGTCCGCTTTCTCAACAACGAGACAAAGTACCTGGAGCTTATACTCTCCGCTCTCGAGGAGTCAGAAAGGCATCAAGACGCACAGCCATCCTCTACCGATGCCAGCACCGCTACCGCTGGTAGCGGTCCGCAGTGGACTTGGGAGGAGCGGTATATTGTCCTGTTGTGGCTTTCACATCTCATGCTTGCCCCCTTTGACTTGGCCACCATCTCATCAACCGACGTCGAGCAGGATGATCTCGCGCCTATTTCTGGTTTCCAGTGGCCTCAAGGTCTGCCCAGTATAACCACTCGGATTCTGCCCCTGGCCATCAAGTATCTTGCCTCCCCGGGCAAGGAGCGAGATGCCGCAAAAGCCCTTTTGGTCCGTATTTCCATGCGCAGAGACATGCAACAACTTGGCGTGTTGGATGCGTTGGTAAACTGGGCCCTCTCCGCTCTTCGCCCTCAAGAGGGACTTCAGAGAACACCGTACCATTACATTGGCGTTCTCTCATTCTTGTCCGGCGTTCTCGTCTCGTCAATCGACACCTCCGACATGGATAAGTACCTGCTGACTTTGTTTCAAGAGGTCCATGGGGCTGCCACTGATCAAAATGCCGCCGGGTCAGTCATGTCATCGGCCCTAGCTCGCAAGACAATGATCAAGGTGATTCGGTCAATCGCGGTTTCCATCTTGCGCCAAGATATGCCGAGCATGGAGATTATTGAGACTACTATTGGTTTCTTACTCGAAAACCTGGCAGACAATGATACGCCAGTCCGGTTCGCTGCCAGCAAAGCTCTCAGTGTCATCACCTTAAAGCTTGATCCTGACATGGCCTCAGAAGTTGTCGAAGCCGTGATTGACTCGTTGAATAAGAATGTCCTATGGGTAAAAGACCCCAAGGATATAAACGCACCGCCAGCCATGGACATTGGCGCCGTTGATCCTCTCGAGTGGCATGGGCTGATGCTCACTCTATCCCACCTTCTATACAGACGCTCACCCCCTGCAGAGAATCTTGATGGCATTATCAACGCCCTTTTGATCGGGCTTTCGTTCGAAAGGCGAGGAACTTCTGGCGGCTCTATCGGCACCAATGTCCGAGATGCGGCGTGCTTCGGCATATGGGCACTCGCACGTAGATATAGTACAAAGGAACTGCTTGCAGTCCCCACCAGCTCTACGGTATCAACCAGATCCTACAACCAACAAGCCTCTATGCTCCAAATTCTGGCTACGGAACTCGTGGTGGCTGCATGCCTGGACCCTTCAGGAAACATCAGACGCGGTTCTTCTGCCGCCTTGCAGGAGTTGATTGGCCGCCATCCTGATACGGTTGAGAAGGGAATTTGGGTGGTCCAGACAGTCGACTACCATGCTGTAGCTCGGAGATCCAGGGCACTCCAGGAGGTTGGCCTGAATGTCACCAGATTATCGAGCCAGTACGGCGAGGCCATTCTGCACGCTCTCCTCGGCTGGAGGGGCATTGGTGATTTTGACGCCATGGCAAGACGAGCAGCAGGAGCGTCTTTTGGCACCATTGCTTCAGAGCTTGCCTTGGGCGTCCCTGATTCGGCTGCAAGGCTCACGCACTTCATGACTATGGTCCTTGACCGGGTCAAGTCACTGCAAGTACGGCAAGTGGAGGAAAGACATGGGCTACTCATGAGCTTTGCATCATTGCTCGACGCATTTCCAAATATTGCAAGCGCGTCTCAAGACGCAGGAAGCACCACTTCCCACGACTCTATTACGAACTTCATTTCCAACTCTCTTGCGGGGTTAATCGAAATCCTTACAGACGCCAACATCAAAACATACCGCAAACCGGAATTGATCGCCGAAGGAGCGAGCTCTTTGATCATATCCTCTTTCCCGGTCTTGCAGTTATCTGTACTGACCAGCAATGGTGATATGTTGAAGCCAACCGAGACAACACTGCTGCCTGGACGGGCCCTCTTCGCAAAGAGTGGCACTGAGATTTCCAGCCTGGTAGCGAAGATGACGCCTAGACCTGAACAGGTCAGAAGGATTGCAGGACTTGCCAAAGCTAACCTGGAAAAATGGCTTGTCCGTCCAGAGCAGGAGATTATATGTGTAGCCTCTGAAGCCGCCCTAGTTCTGCTCATATTCTGTGAAGATGTTGAGCGTGAGAACGTCGTCCGCGAATGGGCTGACGCTGTCCGTCATCGTCCATCTGGGCGAGCAACTACCGCCTCAGGATATTTCGCTGCGCTCGCCATGTCGTACTCCGTACTTGCGACTTTGAAGGTCGCTGAGCAGGACAGAAGCTTAATGTGCAGCGCCTTTGTCGAGCGTTGGAAGAGTGACAATGACATCGAGACCCGAGTTTCCATCCTCTCCAGTCTCACTCAGAGTGATATTTTGCGAGAAAATATTGACACATTTCTCGAGCTTATCGACGCCGGTTTGGATGACTACACTACCAATGCACGGGGTGACGTCGGGTCTCTAGTCCGCTTGCAGGCTATCAAGGCAACAAAGTTCCTCTGGGAGAGACTTGATCAGCTTCCCACAAACGAGGCTCTCCGGGTTGTTTCGGCGTTGTTCTTGCGCATTCTGCGTCTCGCAGCCGAGAAGTTGGACAAAGTAAGAGCTGAAGCGCAGACCGCTTTAGCTCTGGTTCTAAAGCCGAAGTGAGTACAATCCGATTGCCTGACGTTATTGTCAACAAAGATGCTGACAGGTTCCAGTTGCTCTGCTAGGGTTCGCGAATCGACTTTCTCTTCCAGAGTTTACTTTGGCTTCTTGCTCAATTTGCTGTTCGAAGACGTATTACAACCCACCATATCAGACACTCTTAAGGCTGACCCAGATACCTGGATGGAAGAGCTCCTGGCAGGACTCGTATCATCCGCTGACACCGGAAATGAAGAGCTTGTCATCGCAACCAGAGCTGCCCTGTGCGAGTTTTGCCAACAGTCAAAGGAAAATACGGACGCTGTGTGCACTGCACTTCTCCGCAACCTCAAAAGCAGGCAAGGCCAGGACCGCGTATTAGTTCCGACACTGGAGATCACCGCTTTCCTGCTCCATGTGGGCATCTTTCAGACATGTGACAAGATCAACTACAAGAGCCTATGCTTACAGGTCCAAAAAGCTTGCTATAAGACGGGTAACGTCCGCAAGATCGAGGCCTGCATCAGGGTCTATGGCGCCGTCGCTGAGCTCGGTCGGTCCCGCGGCTCTGATCAGGCATCTGTGGACGGTACAGATGAACAGCGGAAACAAGAGGGCATCACGGACGCTCGTAAGAGACTCGGTGCCCTCATGATGCATCCATGGCCGCGTATCAGGAGCTTCGTTGTCGACGAACTCTGGGGATTGACCTCAATCAGCCTCAATGACCCAGCAGCAGAGAAGCTGAAGGGCGTTGATTGGGGTAAGGCTGAAAAGGGGTCTGTGAAATCGCTGGTTGAGGCTCTCGAGTTGGGCAGCTAGACCGCCTCTTTCGCTCATGTAGGCAGTAAGCATGGAACACCCGAAGGAGAAAAGTCCGCGCCAATAATGACTCGAGCTTTTCGAGATTTCACCCAACCACGGTCGAGAAACTGTTCCCGCCGCTCCATCCACATGCATCCGTTGACATTTTTTGTCTAGCACAAAACGAGCCGTCAGTTTTCTTGCTGTTGATCTGTCATTCGGCCTGCTCAACTGTCGATTCAGCATTTTCTATAGAGCAACGAGACAGCAAACCTTTCCAAGGGAAATTCACGCAAGCGTACATACAACCACCACGCGCACAGGCAACACTCTTTTGGTTAGTCATCCGAAAGTTGGAATTGCAAAGAAACCCGTGGTCAAGGACAGACGGCCCACCCGGAAATCAAGGCTCCTCCCCCCAAAACCGCTAAAGTTCACCTGCGTATCGTGACATTCTCAAAGTTATATGCGTGGATAACCGGTGGTGTCGTTTCTGACTGCTGGAGAATTCCAAAAGCCAGATAACATTCATAGAGTGGCTGTGCGTATTGGGTGAGAAGGGAGAACAGGTGTCGACGGACTTTCGACCGATCGTTGTGGACAACTTGTCCACAAAAACAGATCGGATCGTAAACACGGCAAACAAAAATGGAATGCAGTCGTAGCAAACCTACAAATGACCAGAATCGTGATGTCATGTCAGGTGACCACAGAGAGGAGCTGAACCGTACCGGGCTACAACCTAAGTCCAGGTCGCCGATTAATATCGGTACCGCTGTGTGAATGCCGGGGTGTACAAATGGTGTTTCTGCTCGCCTGTGGGCCTTGATGCTTGGCCTGGATTGCCCCTTCGACCTACACATGACAAGTCTTCTCTTCCACATGTGAGGGCTGCTTCTGTGGGTGCTCTGTAGAGGTTAGACGTTCAGAGCTCGACGATGAACGGTCAACAGCTCTGTTTCACAAAAGCCTTGATATACCTTAGTCAGCATTCGCCATGATGGGCTTACTGCTCGGCTCAAGGGTCCAGTTGATACCATAAGGTATGCGGCACTCTAAACGATAAGGATCTGATGCGTTGTTTGTGTAATGTGATAGGTATCATAGCAACTGCAAGGAACTACACTACACACGAGGGCATAAAGGATTGCAACGGCGATAGATCGAAACAATCGGTTGTGGCTGACGGGTTTGTCCGCTGCTGACTGAAGTCTATCAATACCACCACCACCATTGAAGCTTCTCACCAGCATATTGAGTTATACGCTCATCAGCTTCAAACAATTGGGATCATCATGTTCTACATTACAGGAAAACCCACAGTGGCCTTTACATACACATGTACAATCTCGGGGCGATGGAGGTTCGGGTTATTTGGGTGGCTGGTGGCCGAGTTTCATTTCACAAGCGCTCGGCCGTTTCCAGAAGGCTACTACAAGATTGGGTTGATGGATGTTTGGTTCTTCACCAAGTTAGAACTACGACTATGATGGCCAGATGGTTTCACACTACTATATCCAACTACATACCTCGTCATCTTGCGAAAACATATGTTGCTTCGGCGTTATGATGAGGATTCGGTGTTACGAATGAGTAGGTTCACGGAGCTTTCCACCTTGACCGAGTCGGAGGCTGGCCGCTGGACAACGTACGGCGGACGACGGCAGCCGGACTTGGCATGCTTCTCGGATCGCGGGCAATATAGACAAACCACGGGACGATTCGATCTTTCGGTTTTAGTACCACGCCCAATGCCAAAAGCAAACCGAAAAGTCAACCGGCGACGACAAGCTTCACAAACACCGTCGGCAAGCCTGCCATTGGGAACTGGGAAGACTACCCATCCGCCAGGGCATGGACATTATCCAGTTGCAATATGATAAGCCCGACCAGACGGAACGACCAGACCGGTGAACATATGTAACGCAAATAAAATCATCAAGGTTTTGCTTTGATCCATTCCCGTCATTGCGTTCTTGGGTGATAAGCCATGGAACTTCATCCTGTCCAACTTCCTCTACACAGTAGGTACATACCATTCCGACGAAGCTCTCGTACACAAAGAGAGTAGGTAAGGTAGCGTACACTCGGATCCCGGGGCAGGGCAGAGCAAATCTCGATGTCGGTCGGCTTGCGACCTGCCAATTAATACCGCCCTATGCTGTGTGCCCGTGGATGCATATCTCTCCGAGTCTGTTTTTTTTTTAAAAAAAAAATCCCGTCAAGACAAGAATGTGTCGGGAAAGTGATAGGAGTAAAAGCACGTAAGAAGTTGTATTGTCGTGGCCCAAGCGATCGATACCTTACTATCCTCGAGATATCATGTTGTGGGGGTTTGGTTCACATTCACAACTCCAAAATCGCAAACCGCTGCCCGTCCTCCCCGTCGTTGCTCGTTGTTTGGGCATCGCTGGGCCCGATATACCCATGACAAGACAAGCCAGCCACTCCGTCACTTTTGACAGGAGAGGTATGTATCACTGCGCAAGCCATTGCGTGTGGCTTTGACGCTATACAAAAAAGATCCTACTCGGATCTTGAAAGAATCGAACTCGAAGAAGAACCTCGCATCACAACAATTTGGAGATTCCATGGAGAGAACAAACAGCCTCAACAAAAGTTGCCTACATACACTGCCGAGCGGATGGCTACAACCGAGAACTGCAAATGCAATGCGACCTGACACGGCAGGCAACAGTAATGGCGATAGTATTGGCCATTTATACACCGTCAACAATCTGTACTGTACTGTGTCTCTTGCGCCATGGCGCATATAATAGTGCGGTGGCCAACGAGGACGACCACTCGCTATAATAGCCCTTTTCAGACTTCAGAGCAGCTAGCTGGGTTTTCTCTGTTGCGTACTGCCGTCTGAAAGAAACCAGTGATACTTATCTATCGCTGTCAAGCTGTCTTCTACCAGAGTGAGGTGTCTGTCGTGGGAAACCCATAGCTCGGAAACAAATAGGTATGGATTACTCCAGCCGTTTTCATTTTCAAACACGCCTACCGCTTCGTCCTGCCTCCATTCCCGCACTTGTGGCTTTTTGTGTTGCAGTTGCACTTTGGCAGTCGTCGTCGTCGTCGTCGTCGTCCTCGTCGTTACAAGGAAGCTTACTTACCCTACCAATACGTCTCTGGCTGCTTGCACATGCTGTTGTTGCTGTGTGTAACGCCAACCCCGGATTGACACGGACGGGAACGACGTTGCGACAATTAGAAAATGGGCTTCCATCATTTGTCCATTTACGAACCAACCAACTGTCGAAAAGATGACACTGTAACCTCTTTGCATCCGAGCTCCTCTGCTGCTGCACAAACTTTTGGCTGCGCGAATGCGATATTTTCAAGAGTTCTTCCCAGCCGCCCGCTTTTTATGAGGGACTGAAAACAGATGGATCGATCAATCACAGTGGTCTTTCTGTAACGGGCGAAAAATGATGGACAAGTAACAGTGTTCCTAACTCGACCATTCAAGACTCGAACCACAATTTCGCACCACGGGCATGATGCCTGATTGATTGAACTCTTCCGAGTCCGTGAGGAAGTTTACATACAATTTACGAGAAAATGAAATGAAATGACCGAGAAGGAATAAAAGAAGGAGGCCCGCTAAAGACGTATACTACCCCGTATAGGGATGAAACATCCGCTCGCCGTGCCGCTGAGCGTGCGAGCGGGCCGAAGCCGTTGAGGGGTCAGCGTCAGCAGCGTCCATCAGCACACACAAAAAATCGAAATGGGTGCACAAGCGTTGAAAGTGGACAGCGAAAGCGTGCGGAAGCCGGCTTGGCTTGCCCTGGCTTGTCAAGGTCATGGATTCGAGGCACATGAAATTCACGGAAAGGAGGGGGGGAGGGAAAGAAAAAAAGAGGGTGAGAACTCCGAACTCACTAATAGGAACAAAAGGATTGTCGGGCGGAATAGCGGAAAGGGAAGAAGCCCACTTCGCCAAGTCGTGAAAAAACGGGTGTTGAAAAACGAACTTCACTGCGTTCCAGACAACCGTTACGCCAACGAACAGAGAGGAACAAACACATGCAAGCGATCAGCAACAATTCAGCATCGATCCAAAGTGGAGATCAGGAACTTCCCGGGCCGGACTGGTGGAGGAGATTTCTTGTGGAGCTCCCTTTCGTTGTGAATTTCTCTTTGCAGAAGCAGCAGAGCGAGAATGATACGACGGGAGCATTACGGCGTTCTTTACATAGTACAGAAATGCCCCCACCGGACCGTTCGAAGGAACGCAACACGGTTCGGGAGGGGAGGGGCCGGGGGAGATGATCAGCCTATACCGCTTTTTCATCACGTCGAAGTCGTGATCGACAAAAGGTGAACGGGGGTTGGGTGATGGTTTATTGAATATGCGAGGTTGCGTTTCACGTGTTACAGAAGGAAGGACAGGGTCTGTCGTTGATAAAGGTCCGAGCTCGTTTAATCGAATTTTCCTTCTAGGCGACTCCGCATACAAGTATGCGCAAGCATGTATGTATGCGAGATATGGAAACAAAAGATGACAGTCAACATCGCATTGGATCGTCCGGTCCAGACGCAGGAGACGATTGGATCGCTACGATCTGTTCGGATGCACGACGCGACGAAGTCGACGTGCCGCTTTCCATGCACACATAGACCCATTTCAATGCGCACATAGTCCCCCCCCCCCCACTTTTTTTGGGGTGTTCAACAACACGGGCATCTGTATCAGCCGCGCATTACCAAATCCACGATAACTTAAAGTCATCCAGAGTCTCCAATCTGGTCAATTGGCTAAGGTACTATTGAGGTTATTAGAGTTGTTGGCATTGGTCTCGCCGTTTGCTGCCATCTTAACGAAGAATTGGATAAGTGGGATGCGCTTCTCGACAAACTGGACAAGGGAGAGCAGGTCTACGATCCATCTGAGGACCAACAGACCAAGAAGCGAACTAAAGCGTCGTAACGGATCACGGGGAAGCCACAAACAACGTAACAATGATTTCATTGATAGTGATAGTGATAATGGAAGTGGCAGTGGTAGCGATAGCGATAGCGACAGCGATGGAGATGGCGATGGCTTCAAATCAGTTGAAGTACGAAAGAGGGCGCGATATAGTGAGGTTGACGGGCGCGGTTGGGAGCCAGAGATTGGCTGCACACCCAAAAAAGTGGGGGGACTATGTGCGCATTGAAATGGGTCTATTTGTCCATGGATTGCGTCGACGTGCAGCTAGTGAAGGAAAAAGCAAAGAAAAAAAGACTTTTACCGGACCGTTTCGTTTCCGGCGGTTATAGCCAGATTTCATAACAGACAACAACTCATCTCAGCAACAGCATCAACGCCATGAGCGAAGTGTTTTTATATACATAACTCGGGTTGTCTTTTTTGACTTGTCTGTTTCGTCCGAACGAGCCCCCCATCATGTCATCCCATCTCTCTCACTCCCGTCCGCCCGCAGCCATTATTCCCCTTTCCCCCTGACTTTTGCCCCCCTTTTTTGCGCCGCTTCCGCTCTCACATCACCTCATTCATCCGCCAACCAATGTTTTGCATTGGAAAAATGCAGATTGCAGACAGCTCATTCATTGTCGCAAATGGACAGACTGTCACTAAAGCTTTGCTAATAGGGCTAGGGCTCGACTAGTGTAGGTTATGATCCGTCGTTCCACTGTACCCTTACCCGCAAAGCATCTCTGTCCCGTCTCTAGCCCGTCTCTGGCCCCTCTTGTCAGACGATGGAAACGACGATCAAAGAGGAGGATCAACACTTGATTGCCGTCTTCCTATAAGATGTGATGGTGCAGAATTGATTGATTGAAGAGTGTGTGTGACTGACTCGCCTAGAAGATATAGGGGGTGCTAGGGTAACCTAGATATGCCCAGAAATCAGGTAATATCAGGTGGCTAGAGCGCTAACCTCCATATAGTATGGCTAAAACCACCCTTGAATCTAATATACCCTCTCACTTACAAACCTTCTAAATAGGGTAAAAGTAAAGCTATTTATAGAATCTCTCTTTTGGCACGTCAATTTCTCCAACTAAACTATAAATATTCTCTAAAATATTATCCGGAATTTCCTTATCTATTCCTATCTCCTTACGAGCTAGTATATTCGTTATTCCTATTAATTCTTAGAATTTCTCGTAATCTAATTATCCTAGAACCTTTATCAATCTATCAGCTAGTATCTTCTTCGTCTCTAAATATTCAATTTCAATCCTTCCCTCTATAATTTCTTACCTTAATTAATAATAATAGCTATCAACATACTTCAATTTAATTATTAGTTTCGCTACTTTAATAATTAATATATAAATTATTCATATATTATTATAACCGATTATAGATATATCCTTATCGAAGAGAATATTAATCTCCTTATATAAATGTATAATAACGATAATTTCCTTAGTAGCGTTTAAAATCGATAAGAATTCTACTTCTATTATAGAAATAAATACCGTCTTTTATTTAATTACACCCTAATAAACTAAATTACTAAAAACTTAATTATAAATTTATACGGATTTTTTCGATTTAGAGAATTGTCGGCGTATAATATATTTA